GAAGTACGTGTTTACTCAGAAAGAGTTAAACATGAGACAGAGACGGTGGATGGAGTTGATAAAGGACTACCATCTAGTTATTGAGTACCATCCAGGCAAGGAAAACGTTGTAGCAGATGCCCTCAGTCGGAAGAGTTCGTCTGGGGCATTGTTGACTAGTTTGAGGGCACTGAGGGCCCAATTGGATGTATCTAACGACGGTGCCTTATTGGCACGATTCGAAGTGAGACCAACCTTACTTGAGGAGATCAAGAAGGGTCAAGAGACGGACACAGAACTTATGAAGGTCCGGGAACGCATGCAAGCGGGACCGGTGGAGGATTTCAGGGAAAGAGACGATGGTCTCTTGTTATTTCGTGACCGAGTGTGTGTACCGTCAGATGATGAGCTCCGAAAGTCCATCTTAGAGGAGGCTCATTCATCGGCTTATGCCATGCACCCTGGGAGCACGAAAATGTACCGTGATTTGAAAGAAAGTTACTGGTGGTCTGGGATGAAGAGGGAAATAGCCGAGTACATCAGTCGATGCCTTACTTATCAACAAGTTAAGGCAGAACATCAGCATCCAGCAGGCTTCTTACAACCACTTTCCATCCCTGAATGGAAGTGGGAGCACGTGACTATGGATTTCGTGGTAGGCTTACCACGGACTATCAGGAACTATGACGCGGTTTGGGTTGTTGTTGATAGGCTCACAAAGAGGACACACTTTTTACCTATCAACACTACCTACCCACTCGAGAGGTTAGCCAAATTGTATACGGACGAGATCGTGAGGTTACATGGTGTTCCAGTGACCATTGTATCCGATAGAGACCCACGATTCACGTCACGTTTTTGGCCAAAATTTCAAGAGTCTATGGGAACGAGGTTGAAGTTCAGTACTGCTTTCCACCCACAGACAGATGGACAGTCTGAAAGAGTCATACAGATCTTAGAAGACATGCTGAGGGCGTGTGCATTGGAGTTCCAAGGGAGTTGGGACAACCACTTAGCACTTGTGGAGTTCGCCTATTTTTTTTTTTTTTTTTTTTTTTTTTTTTTTTTTTTTTTTTTATTTTTTTTAACCCGGAAGGTAAACCACCAAAATCAGTGGGGCAAATGCCGGGTGTCATTTGCCATAATTTTATTAATGAAGATAGAAGAACAAAAGAGAGGGGGACCAAACCAAAACCTCCCTTCAGAGGCATACCTCTGTAAAGAACAGGAGATAAAAAACCAACAAGATCAAGTATAAAAATATTTTGGGGGGGCTAAGCCTGACCCAAAATAAATACAAACGAAAAAAATTAATTAATTCTAAAATAACTCAATCCCAGCTTATCCGCAATTAAAGCACATCTAATGTAACTCGGAAGTTGCCTGATGTTGTGATAAATTACCAGATCAGTACTATTAAGTTTAGATAAAAAGTGCGCAGGCCAATTCATTTCCCTCAAGATGTGTCTGAAAAGAATCCGGTCCTGAACCATCCAGCTCCTCAAATCATCGAGCTTCTTCCTCCATCGTCCACCGAAACATCTATCATGAATAGCATCAAAAACCATCTGCGAATCCATTTCCACCTCAAAACCCATATACCCTTTCTCCACCGCCCAAGATACTGCGGTATGAACCGCCAAGAGCTCCGCCTCCATGACTGATGTAGCAGATAGAGGAAAGTGCAATCCAATTATAAACTCACCCTTTCTGGTTCGAAGGACAGCCCCTCCATAACTGTTGCCTATAACAACAGTTATCAGGCAAGCATCGGCATGCCTCCATACGAGGCATTGTATGGGAGGAGGTGTCGTACACCGTTATGCTGGGACGAGGTTGGCATGGCCAAACTCGAGGGTACTGAGTTGGTGGAGATCACCAAGTCAAAGGTAAAGTTGATTCGAGAGAGACTCAAGGCGGCTCAGGATAGACAAAAGAGTTATGCAGATAAGCGCCGGAGAACCTTAGAGTTTAAGGTTGATGACGAGGTATTCTTGAAAGTTTCTCCTTGGAAAGGAATCATACGATTCCAAACCCGAGGAAAGCTTAATCCCCGATACATAGGTCCATTCAGAATTATAGAAAAGATTGGGGCCGTAGCATATCGTCTGCAGTTAACTCCTGAATTAGAGAAGATACATAATGTATTTCATGTATCCATGCTTAAGAAGTATGTGCATGATCCCTCTCACGTATTGAAGGAACCACCTGTAGAGGTACGTGAGGATTTGAACTACGCTGTGCAACCTATCAAGGTCACCGATAGGAAGGTGAAGAAACTGAGGAGCAAAGAAGTCCCAATGGTTAAAGTACTTTGGAAGAGCGATCGGGTCGAAGAAGAGACGTGGGAAACAGAGGCTTTGATGAGGAAGCAGTATGCTTTCCTATTCGAGTAGAGCTGTGAATTTCGGGGACGAAATTCCTGTTAAGGGGGGGTGAACTTGTGACACCGCGCCCGAACGTCCTTGAAAATTTGATTTAAAAATTCAAAGTTTATGTATTGGATTTCTGTTTCCCAAACAATTGTAAAACGATTAATGTTTTACGTAATTAATGATCGATTAGTGTACTGTTCGAACTCGTATATTAGTGACGGGCATGCAAATACTATTTGGGTCTTATTAATAAATAAAAGAGCCCAACATTATCCAAATTGTGATACATGACCTTTCAAGACAGTCCGAGTAAGGTCGGACGGCCCAAACGTTATTTTGAGTCCAACCTGCTAAAAATAGCAAGTATTCGAGAATGGCGTTCTAGACCCACTCGGGAGTGACCCACATGGCTAGTAGCCCATTAATATGTATGACAAATGTCAAATAAGTGATAGAATGATTAAAGAAGAATACAAATGCCTATAACCCCATCTTTGGCATTATTGAGCTAAATAATGGGAGTAGGATTTTCCTTCTATAATATCCATCAAGTAAATTATTGGGATGATCATACACATAATGGAGATCAATAATATGATGTAGAGAGTTGACTTGTTCTAAATAAATTAGAATGAGTACAAAGAGACATCTTATGACAAAGAGATCAAAAGTGAGACCCACCCATGTCTAAAAACATCTCATGGAGACCATACCAATTCATTTCACTCCACACAACTTATCCACCCTTATTGAAGGGTCTTGGACACTCCCTTAAGCCCCTCATTCGAACTCCCAAGGATAAGGGAGAAGGAGAGAGCCACACAACCAAGAAAGCAAGAGAAAGGGGAAGCTGCCGCAGGTTCGTTTTCCAGTGCGTAAGGTTACTTGTTTGCTTCATATCTCGAGTTATACACATCCAAATAAGGCGTGCGAGATACCCACAGAAAGCTCTCAAGACGAGGAATCCGTGAAGGTCTGGTTTGCATCAATCGGAGTAGTGGAAGGCTTCCAAATCGTCCGAGCAAAACACAACCTCGCGGAATACGTTTTTGTATTCAAGGTAAGTTTGAATCCAAAACTTTCCTCTCTATTGTCTAAACCATATAAATGATTGAAGAACTATTATACACTGATTGAAGTGTATAAAATGTTATTATAAAGTGACTTTAATTGTTGGAAAAGTTAGATACTAATCTAGACAAAACCTTGAAAGGTTAGGGAACGATTTCGTCGGGAACACCCGTTCTAGGGACTGTTTTTGTGTCCTCGGTTAGGAGTTGAACTAGCACTTTGGAGAGGCTGTTTAACACTCAATTCCAAGCAAGGAATCAGTTCTCAATCTTCCTTGGCCAAAGCTTTGACCATGGGATCAAGAAAGAAAGGTTTGAAGCTCAATTAAGGTGAGGATGACCGACTATATTGCTTATAATTATTGGGTTAATTTCATAAGATTACCTAAATGAATTATATGTGTTTGGCATGATTTATTTATAATATAACAAAATGCCTAAATGAGATTATTATTGTTTATAAGTAAAAGTGCATAATATACAAATTTATGAATAAATTGTGTATGATTATGTATTATGAATACAATGGTATAATAGCGTGTAAACTATAAATGAATTGTGATAAATATACTTTTACCTCATGTAAGGAAGTCATGGAAGGATAAAAGTGATATTTTGATATTAGAACCAAGTTATACTTGAATGTGGAATTAAATTGAAATAGCCAAATTACTATGAAATTGCATTGGCTTATTAAGGTTAAATGATTAGTATAGAAATACTAGCCGGGGATGTTAGCGTAAAAAGTGATAGAACAAATCCTAAGGGCTTGGATTGTGAAGGATGCACCTTAAGTAGTCTTATGAGATGTCTTAAGGTAGGAATGGGTAACCGCTAAATTACATTAGGAGTAGGCCTCATAGGCTACTCAAGATAGAGAAAACCTAGGCATAGAATTTGCTTAGTGAGTAGTATCGTGACTAGAGGAAGCCTCTAGCACGATGAGGAATGACTGGAGGAAGCCTCCAGCATTCGTGTAGGACGACTAGAGGAAGCCTCTAGCGTAGTGTAAGATGACTAGAGGAAGCCTCTAGCATAATGTAATGTGACTGGAGGAAGCCTCCAGCACAAAGTATGAAAGGTGATTAGAGGAAGCCTCTAACACCGAATGTAGTGACTAGAGTCAGCCTCTAGCACGACAAAACATGACTAGAGGAAGCCTCTAGCATAATGTAATGTGACTGGAGGAAGCCTCCAGCACAAAGTACGAAAGGTGATTAGAGGAAGCCTCTAACACCGAATGTAGTGACTAGAGTCAGCCTCTAGCACGACAAAACATGACTAGAGGAAGCCTCTAGCATGGTAAACTGATATAGATGGGTGTGGCTTGAAGTCACGGGGGAGGGGTTAAATGTTTTCAAAGTAAACATGAGCCTTCGGCCGACTACTTGACTTTATATATAAAGTAAGTATATTTGTAAAGAGGGTAACCACGAGTTATGACCTATATTGTAATATCACCCTATTTGAGGGTCTTGGAAATTGAAACGTTGATTATACTTAGTATAGTTGTCATTGTACTTGTCAAATGCTTCCAAGTACTGACCTCCCCTTCACGGGGGAGGCCACCTCACAGTTTCAGGTAGGACTTGAAGGTTGCTACCACGCCCGTTGCTTCGGGAAGATCAAAGGAGGAGGACGTGGTTCGTGCTTCTTCCGTTTCTGTTTTAAACAATTACAATAATGCTCATGGAAATTATTTTGAATACTATTTGGGGGCTTGTATGCCCATGTTTGCCACGTGTGGCTTGAATACGTGTATTAATGTTTCCGCTGCTTTAAATGAATATTTTACATTATGTTTGTTTATGGATGTACTATGTGTGAATGGTATTCAAGACGCCTAGTATAGTATGTATGAGTTGGACTGCGGTTGACTATTCGTACTGTACGGCGGGTTGTTGACGTGTCCGGTAGGTCCGGGGCGTGACAATTTAATTGGTATCAGAGCCTTAGTCCATAAACTTCATAATGAAGTCTCAAAATTCTCTTTTCAAAATGATTTTTGAAAACCATGAGCAAAAATGTTTTGTACTTAAGAACTTTTGGTGTTTGAGTTGCAAGGTCTCTAATTGTTAAGATGGCGCCCTTAACCATTGGTATGGCGACGACTTGGCCCAAGAGATGTCTTAAGTACCTATCTGTCAGTTGACATTTGAAACGAGTCTAATGACTCATTCCAATTATTTCTTTCAGTGATGGAGGGTGATTGTGGTACTATGAATAGGGAGAACTCGGAAGGGTTTGCACCGGGTGGAACCGGGCATGCCAACCGAGAAAAGCCTGTAGGAATAAAGGTTCACGAAATTCTAGAAGCTCAAATCGTGAGTGGCGGTCATGTTAGAACCAATGAAGAATCACCTTGTCATAGCAAAATTGAAACACTCAAGGCTTCGGGTGACGAGGGAGATGATTTGAGTGATGAGAACCTTGATGGTGCACCCATTGAACAAATGGGCATGGTCATAGATTGGCTTCAACGTGAACGTGTGAGGCTTATACAAAAACGCCAAGCTAGGCAAGCTGAGGGCATACCGTTAGTAAGGAAAAGGAGGTGGGGAGACAACGATTCCCAAAGACATTCAAGAAGGACAAACGTTGAGGGTGACAAAACCTTCAGGGCGCAGACACTATCACTTGAGTGGAGTCGGGGCTCGGGTGGCCAGAACTCGAGGTCAAAGGGTCCGAGGGTACCTAGGTGCAACAATTGCAAGAAACACCACTCGGGTAAGTGTCACGACCCTCCTAAGTGCTATCATTGCACAGAGGTCGGGCACACGAGAGTGAGCTGCCCACAAATTGTGCAAAACCAAACTTCGGGGTCAAGTGGTGGAACTACAAGAAATGAAAACCAAACCGAGGTTTCTCAAGGGAGCAGGGGACATGGGGGAGCAAGCACGAGCAATGCGCCATCCGTGAACCAAGGAAGGACCCAAGCTAGGGTCTATGCGATGATAGAGGCGGATGCTCAAGCTAACCCGGATTCCGTTGCAGGTATTGCCTCCCGTATACTAGTGTTTTATCCTTAATTAGTCCATAAATTAAGGTTACTAATCGTTGGGATCATTGCACGAAATTTTGGGATCAAACGGAGCGAAATCGGGCGAAAGACGGCTGATTTCCGCCAATGCACACCAGGCTGGACCCTACGCACGGCCGTGCGTTGTCCGTGCGTTGGTCCGTGCGTTGGTGGCAGTAGCAACCGGGAAGAAATTGCTATACGCACGGCCGTGCGTTGTCCGTGCGTTGGTCCGTGCGTTGGTGGCAGTAGCTCCGTTTTGAGGTTATAAGACACGCACGCCGTGCGTACCTCCTAGGCACGCCGTGCGTACCTCCTGGACAGCCCAAAGTCGACTTTTTCGCGCCGTATTGCAACGTTAAGACCCGTTCTTGATCCCAAACACGTGTGTGAACATAATAAACCTCTCTAAATGAGTAGGGAGGGTAGGAAAGATGTCTTACATGGTTCATGAATGTAGGGACACTAAAGATTAATGGGAAGGATGCGCGAATCCTTATCGATACCGGGGCGCAACGTTCATTTGTGAATGAAGCGTTCGCCAAGAGTTTGGAAGTGCAATCCGCACCATTGATGCAAACCTTAGTGGTATCAACACCACTAGGGGATGACGTGGAAACAACTCATTACTATCCATCTTGTGGGGTGGAAGTTAATGGTCAAACCTTGACGTGTGACTTCGTACCGCTGAGCATGATTGAATTCGATGCAATCCTAGGGTTGGATTGGCTAGAAAGGAACCATGCTAGGGTAGATTGCTACACGAAGGTTCTTAAACTCGAAGGCAATGATGGGGAGACCCTACGCTTCGAGGGCGATCGAGGGAGATCAAATAGCTGTATCATATCCGCCGTGAGAGCGAGAAGTATGATGAGAAAGGGATGCCACGCATATCTAGCATACGTGGTTGACAAAACCAAAGAGGAAACGAACATCGATGATGTGAGGGTGGTTTGTAAGTATCCGGATGTCTTCCCTAAAGACCTACCGGGGCTTCCACCTGATAGGGAGATTGAATTTGTGATCGAGGTCGAGCCTGGTACCAAACCAATCTCCATACCGCCATACCGTATGGCACCCGCTGAACTTAACGAGTTGAAAACCCAATTGCAAGAGCTTTTGGATAATGGTTTCATTAGACCAAGCCACTCCCCGTGGGGAGCACCAGTTCTTTTTGTGAAAAAGAAAGATGGGACACTTCGAATGTGTATTGACTATCGTCAACTGAACAAGGTCACAATCAAGAATAGGTATCCCTTGCCTAGGATTGATGACTTGTTTGATCAACTACGAGTGGCGACTATGTTTTCAAAGATTGACTTGAGGTCGGGTTACCATCAACCGAAGATTAAGGAAGATGACATACCAAAAAGTGCTTTTCGCACAAGGTATGAGCACTTTGAATTCCTTGTTATGTCGTTTGGGTTAACAAACGCCCCAGCGGCATTCATGGACTTGGTGAATCGAGTATTTCATATATACTTGGACCGAATTGTGATTGTGTTCATATATGACATCTTAATTTACTCAAGGAGTGAAGAAGAACATGAGCGGCACTTGGTCCTGGATCTTGAAACACTACGAGAGAAGCAATTTTGCGCCAAGTTCTCTAAGTGCGAGTTTTGGCTTAAAGAGATTGGCTTTCTTGGGCATGTAGTTTCTGAGTCAGGCATTGCCGTGGATAACAAGAAGATTGGGGCTATCACATAATGGGAAAGGCCTAAGAACGTGAAGGAGATTCGTAGTTTCCTCGGGCTAGCGGGTTACTACAGATAATTCGTGGAGAAGTTCTCAGTTTTGGCATCGCCGTTGACGAAGCTCACTCGAAAGGGAACTAAGTTTATATGGGATGACAAATGTGAGAAAGGATTCATCGAACTGAAGAAGAGGTTGACCGAGGCACCGGTACTTGCATTACCCAAACAGGGTATGGGGTACGATGTCTATAGTGATGCGAGCATCCAAGGGTTTGGGTGTGTGTTGATGCAGGAGGGGAGGGTAATTGCCTATGCTTCGCGACAGTTGAAGAAGCATGAGGTAAATTATCCTACCCATGATCTGGAGCTGGAGCAGTAGTGTTTGCACTGAAGATTTGGAGACATTATCTCTACGGAGAGACGTGTCACATATATACTGATCATAAGAGCTTGAAGTACGTGTTTACTCAGAAAGAGTTAAACATGAGACAGAGACGGTGGATGGAGTTGATAAAGGACTACCATCTAGTTATTGAGTACCATCCAGGCAAGGAAAACGTTGTAGCAGATGCCCTCAGTCGGAAGAGTTCGTCTGGGGCATTGTTGACTAGTTTGAGGGCACTGAGGGCCCAATTGGATGTATCTAACGACGGTGCCTTATTGGCACGATTCGAAGTGAGACCAACCTTACTTGAGGAGATCAAGAAGGGTCAAGAGACGGACACAGAACTTATGAAGGTCCGGGAACGCATGCAAGCGGGACCGGTGGAGGATTTCAGGGAAAGAGACGATGGTCTCTTGTTATTTCGTGACCGAGTGTGTGTACCGTCAGATGATGAGCTCCGAAAGTCCATCTTAGAGGAGGCTCATTCATCGGCTTATGCCATGCACCCTGGGAGCACGAAAATGTACCGTGATTTGAAAGAAAGTTACTGGTGGTCTGGGATGAAGAGGGAAATAGCCGAGTACATCAGTCGATGCCTTACTTATCAACAAGTTAAGGCAGAACATCAGCATCCAGCAGGCTTCTTACAACCACTTTCCATCCCTGAATGGAAGTGGGAGCACGTGACTATGGATTTCGTGGTAGGCTTACCACGGACTATCAGGAACTATGACGCGGTTTGGGTTGTTGTTGATAGGCTCACAAAGAGGACACACTTTTTACCTATCAACACTACCTACCCACTCGAGAGGTTAGCCAAATTGTATACGGACGAGATCGTGAGGTTACATGGTGTTCCAGTGACCATTGTATCCGATAGAGACCCACGATTCACGTCACGTTTTTGGCCAAAATTTCAAGAGTCTATGGGAACGAGGTTGAAGTTCAGTACTGCTTTCCACCCACAGACAGATGGACAGTCTGAAAGAGTCATACAGATCTTAGAAGACATGCTGAGGGCGTGTGCATTGGAGTTCCAAGGGAGTTGGGACAACCACTTAGCACTTGTGGAGTTCGCCTATAACAACAGTTATCAGGCAAGCATCGGCATGCCTCCATACGAGGCATTGTATGGGAGGAGGTGTCGTACACCGTTATGCTGGGACGAGGTTGGCATGGCCAAACTCGAGGGTACTGAGTTGGTGGAGATCACCAAGTCAAAGGTAAAGTTGATTCGAGAGAGACTCAAGGCGGCTCAGGATAGACAAAAGAGTTATGCAGATAAGCGCCGGAGAACCTTAGAGTTTAAGGTTGATGACGAGGTATTCTTGAAAGTTTCTCCTTGGAAAGGAATCATACGATTCCAAACCCGAGGAAAGCTTAATCCCCGATACATAGGTCCATTCAGAATTATAGAAAAGATTGGGGCCGTAGCATATCGTCTGCAGTTAACTCCTGAATTAGAGAAGATACATAATGTATTTCATGTATCCATGCTTAAGAAGTATGTGCATGATCCCTCTCACGTATTGAAGGAACCACCTGTAGAGGTACGTGAGGATTTGAACTACGCTGTGCAACCTATCAAGGTCACCGATAGGAAGGTGAAGAAACTGAGGAGCAAAGAAGTCCCAATGGTTAAAGTACTTTGGAAGAGCGATCGGGTCGAAGAAGAGACGTGGGAAACAGAGGCTTTGATGAGGAAGCAGTATGCTTTCCTATTCGAGTAGAGCTGTGAATTTCGGGGACGAAATTCCTGTTAAGGGGGGGTGAACTTGTGACACCGCGCCCGAACGTCCTTGAAAATTTGATTTAAAAATTCAAAGTTTATGTATTGGATTTCTGTTTCCCAAACAATTGTAAAACGATTAATGTTTTACGTAATTAATGATCGATTAGTGTACTGTTCGAACTCGTATATTAGTGACGGGCATGCAAATACTATTTGGGTCTTATTAATAAATAAAAGAGCCCAACATTATCCAAATTGTGATACATGACCTTTCAAGACAGTCCGAGTAAGGTCGGACGGCCCAAACGTTATTTTGAGTCCAACCTGCTAAAAATAGCAAGTATTCGAGAATGGCGTTCTAGACCCACTCGGGAGTGACCCACATGGCTAGTAGCCCATTAATATGTATGACAAATGTCAAATAAGTGATAGAATGATTAAAGAAGAATACAAATGCCTATAACCCCATCTTTGGCATTATTGAGCTAAATAATGGGAGTAGGATTTTCCTTCTATAATATCCATCAAGTAAATTATTGGGATGATCATACACATAATGGAGATCAATAATATGATGTAGAGAGTTGACTTGTTCTAAATAAATTAGAATGAGTACAAAGAGACATCTTATGACAAAGAGATCAAAAGTGAGACCCACCCATGTCTAAAAACATCTCATGGAGACCATACCAATTCATTTCACTCCACACAACTTATCCACCCTTATTGAAGGGTCTTGGACACTCCCTTAAGCCCCTCATTCGAACTCCCAAGGATAAGGGAGAAGGAGAGAGCCACACAACCAAGAAAGCAAGAGAAAGGGGAAGCTGCCGCAGGTTCGTTTTCCAGTGCGTAAGGTTACTTGTTTGCTTCATATCTCGAGTTATACACATCCAAATAAGGCGTGCGAGATACCCACAGAAAGCTCTCAAGACGAGGAATCCGTGAAGGTCTGGTTTGCATCAATCGGAGTAGTGGAAGGCTTCCAAATCGTCCGAGCAAAACACAACCTCGCGGAATACGTTTTTGTATTCAAGGTAAGTTTGAATCCAAAACTTTCCTCTCTATTGTCTAAACCATATAAATGATTGAAGAACTATTATACACTGATTGAAGTGTATAAAATGTTATTATAAAGTGACTTTAATTGTTGGAAAAGTTAGATACTAATCTAGACAAAACCTTGAAAGGTTAGGGAACGATTTCGTCGGGAACACCCGTTCTAGGGACTGTTTTTGTGTCCTCGGTTAGGAGTTGAACTAGCACTTTGGAGAGGCTGTTTAACACTCAATTCCAAGCAAGGAATCAGTTCTCAATCTTCCTTGGCCAAAGCTTTGACCATGGGATCAAGAAAGAAAGGTTTGAAGCTCAATTAAGGTGAGGATGACCGACTATATTGCTTATAATTATTGGGTTAATTTCATAAGATTACCTAAATGAATTATATGTGTTTGGCATGATTTATTTATAATATAACAAAATGCCTAAATGAGATTATTATTGTTTATAAGTAAAAGTGCATAATATACAAATTTATGAATAAATTGTGTATGATTATGTATTATGAATACAATGGTATAATAGCGTGTAAACTATAAATGAATTGTGATAAATATACTTTTACCTCATGTAAGGAAGTCATGGAAGGATAAAAGTGATATTTTGATATTAGAACCAAGTTATACTTGAATGTGGAATTAAATTGAAATAGCCAAATTACTATGAAATTGCATTGGCTTATTAAGGTTAAATGATTAGTATAGAAATACTAGCCGGGGATGTTAGCGTAAAAAGTGATAGAACAAA